AGTTTGTTATTCTTGCTATTCCACCACACTTAACAAGTAAGTGAAGAAAATGTAGTCAATACAATCTCACAAATGTCAATTATGAAATGTGAGTTTCCAAAGCCAAAATAGTTAATTAATTAAGCAATCTTTTTGGACCGTTTGAATTAAATCCAGTCCGTAAAATATAAGCTGTGAATTAGACTGTTCATAGCCCCATTTGTCTCTAAGATCGTCACGATCGACCCTTACGGGCGGTCATTTTCTTTTCAAATGTACTTAGGGGACACATCCCAGACGTCTAAGTTTGGCTTTAAGTAGATTTGATACTTATCCCTAGTCTGACTCGGTACATATGAAACCAACCTCGTCCCCAGGACGAGGTTGATATGAAACCAGGATGGCCGCCTGTTAGGAGGGCAGGTGTTTGATCCTGACCATCTTACGAAAAACTTGGGAATTGTGAACAGTTTAACTGTGAATAGTTTTGTATGTGTATCAATCAGCCATCACTTTTTTTGTTCTATTAGGTAAACATTACTTATTAGATTCTGGGATACTTCTCACCTACCCCTCCCCTAATCCAACATTTGCGCCGAGTGAGACGTTGGTGATAACGTTGGGTTAGGGGAGGGGTCGGTGGAAGTCTAGTCCCAGAATCTTATAAGTATCTTTTTTGTTTAATCCAAGCAACTTAATCCATTTATTTTTAATGCCTAGACCGCGAGCAGTCTCCCTTTTTCTTCAGATTTCGTGAAGAGTGCACGTGCACTCGAGCGTCGAGCGGCGAAGCTGCGAGACGGGAGAAACGAGGGCGGCCTTCAGTCACGCGCGTGGTCATTGTCGTGTTTTGTGCGTTTTACTCGACGGACTAAGAAAGAAGAGGGACTGTTCCTGCCTCTTCCTCATGTGCTTCGTTTTTCGCACAGAGCCAAACGCGAAACGCGAGTGACACAGTAGTGACTTGTGGCGAACTGCAAGGGACAACGTGAAGGAAAAAAATGAGAGGCGAGGCGTCTCTCGCCCGTTTTCTCTTCGCGCCTTTCTTTGCGCGCAATTTTTCATCAAAAGAGAGACATCTCGTCTAGGTACGAGGCAGGGACGGACTGTTCGTAGTGTATTTAATGCTTTGTGTATCATCGTAAAGTTTTCTCATCTAGGTCAGATTGAATTCAGTCCAGAGTTGCCATACAACAAACAGCGACTTACTTATAACATGCCTCCGGCACATTTGACAAAGTTTGTCGCCACTTATGGGACAGCATTCTGGCGGAAGGATGGTTTATCGGGAGAACTGCTTAGAAGTTCATGTGAAGATTCTTGTAATAATAATCCAATTGCAATGACATTTGACGCTACAACGAGCGATGGAAATCCAGCTATTCTAGGATTTATCACATCTTCTACTGCTGCCAAGTGGTCTTCAGTACCGGTAATTTCTTATGCTATTATATATCTAGCCTGCGTAGCCGGCGGGATCGTTAGCGCGAGCAGAGTTTGGGAGAGTAGCTGGGAGCTGTGTAGAGAATGGGCAGGAGACGCTTCTCGCGTCTTCAGTGCTCGCATTTCGCGGCAAAGCTGCGAGAATAGGGAGCTTATCTACAATGAAGGCGACGGCTACGAAAACGTCACTTAAAAAGTGAATTCGCCTTGCCTCAAACTTTATCGCGTTTATTCCATCTCGTTAAATTCGTCAAATTTCGGCAAATTGTTTTTCTAGTTGAATTCTAAAAGACTTCATCAAAGTTCAGGAAAAGAAAAAGAAAGGTTGTCTTGTGTTCACGTCTTGTGACGTCCTCGGCAAAACGTGAAATTAGGCACTTTCACATCGTAGTCGTGCAGCGACGGCAAAGAAATGTACAAAAAGCGTGATGCACTTGCAAAGTTGTTGTTTTGCCAGAATCTAAACCTTTTGCTTTTTTCCCGTCCTCGTTGCCGTCGCTGTCGTCGTTGCTTAAGCTCCCTAATGGTGGCTTCACTGCCAACAGTGTCACTCCAGCAAAAGCAGTAGGCCACTCAACCTCGTTCCCAGGGTTCTCTCCTACCCGTAGGGCGGGTAGGAGAGAACCCTGGGAACGAGGTTGTAGGCCACTTACGAGTTCCAAAAACCCTCACTTTCAAAATGAGGCTAAGTGGCCAACCTTTTATGTGAAAATGAGTTTTACTTGCATGAGAATGAAAATCACTTCAATATCAAAGGCTGAGCACTTAACCTCGTTTTGATGCAGAGGCCCGGAGGGACTCGGAAATGGCCTATTCCGGAAGCTAAGTAGGCTATATCATATATCTCGTAAACTTCTAAGAGGGCAAAAATCCAAAAATTTGACAAAAATGCAAAATGTTAGCTTGTAAAATACCGAGAAACATGGGGAACAATGTGAAAATACCGCTCTTAAAATGATCACACCATACGATCTGATCGACAGACTCAACTAGCTAGCACCACCTTGTACAGTGTTAACAGTCGGATAGGAAATTACTTCTCAGTAGCTTTCATTTGAATGATTACTTCACGATTTCATCTACAGACTCCAAATTTTTTACCACCTTGCCTTGTACCTTGCCTTGAGTCTTGTTTTTACAGTTTAAATGTACGAGATTTTCTCAACACCAAGTGGTGTTTGCGCGTGAACCAGCGTCATTTTGGCGGGAAAACGTCATAATCGTCGTCATTCTGCCATGAGTTTTAGCGAGAATAGTGAATAGGGAGCTTAAGATCCGACGACGGCGACGGCAACGGGAACGCCACAAAAACAATAGGTTTAATTAGCAAAACAACAATTTTGCACGTGCATCACGCTTTTTTGTACATTTCTTTTCCGTCACTGCTGGACTACGACGTGAAAATGCCTAATTTCACGATGTACAGAGGAAGTAGACAAGCGACGACGAAATTTCCTCTCTCCTTCTGAACTTGGATATGGTCTTAGGGATTTGACTTTAGGAGGGTTCGCCTACACTTGACAAAGTTACTGACTTGGAGTAATGGCGATGAAGATTGAAAGAATGCGAATTCACTTTTTCAGCGACGCTTTCTCTGCCGTCGCCGTCCTCGGATCTTAAGGTCCCTAATAGCATCGACGACGGCAACGACAGCGAAAACGTCAGTGTTAAAATGAATTCTCGTTTTTTCAATCTTTGTCGCGTTTATTCCAATTTGCTGAAAATGGCAAATGTAGGCGAATTTCCCTGGAGTTGATTTCTTGAGGACCGCACTCAAGTTTACAGAGAGAAAAAGAAATTCGTCGTCGCTTGTTTACGTCCTCTGTAAAACTTGCAATTAGGCATTTTGACATCGTAGTCGTGCAAGGACGGTAAAGAGTTGTACAAAAAAGCGTGATGCACGTGCAAAGTTGTTTTGGGTAATAAACCTATTGCTTGGTTGCCGTCGCCGTCGTCGTTGCTAAAGCTCCCTAATTTACGCAAGAGGACGGGAGAGGAAAGAAGACGGCAAACGTTGACGATAATTGCGTTTGAAAAAACTTTCCGCCAAACATAACCCTTCTTTTAAGAGATTTGTTTTGTAAAAGAAGACCAGAAACGTTAATGTTAAGTGAGTATCGCGAGAAAACACATAGGTAATAGCCCTGTCACGTTTGTCACACACAAACGTTTTGCCGTCCTCTTCTTTCTGCCGTCCTGGGGCCGGTTGCTCGAAGCCTGGTTAGCGATAACCGTTGGTTAAGAGGTATCAAAATGTATAGGTTTCCATAGTATTTAACGCTGGTTAGCACTAACCATGCTTCGAGCAACCCGGGCCTGTTGTGTAAACTTTGATGGCGGAAACAAGTTATCAAATGTTAAAAGTTTTGTCATTTTTGCGATCGGGAGAGAGCTTAACCTCTTCCAATAAAGACAACAGTGCTAACTTTTCCGGCGAAAATGTACAATGAAGTATTCCGAGGTGTCTAATTTTCTACAATACGCGAAAATTTTTAAATCAAATCTCGTACTGGTAGTCGTTCTCGTCTTCGAATCTAAAGGAAAGTAAAGTATCCGTTACTTGAATGGCTACACTTCGAAATTTCAGCTTTACTTTTCTCCATTTTTCGTTAGTGGATGACGTTCTTTTGATGTTAGAGTTCTCTCTTCTAGGATGAAATTAAAAGAGAGGACATTCTTAAATCGTTAAAGACGTATTTTGGACCAGAAGCTGAGCATCCTTTAGATTTTCGTCTCAAAGTAAGTAAGCTCTGACATGCTATGATAGTTTGCCTCACCTGGTTGGTGATGGAGTTAATCTCTCACGATAATTTGCTAGATATTGATTGCGAGTAATTTTCACCAAGAAAAATGACTCTTTCTTTCCAAAATCTTACACGTAATTTTATGATACTGAATAAGTGTTTAATAAGAATATAATTAATAATGACAAGGTCTCCGTAATACTATTCTTGAATAATACAAATATCTTTCATATTACAACTTTGTTCTGTATACACAAGAAACTTTATGTGAAGTCACCGAAGCCTATGAATTAAGGGGTTATTTCATGGAAATTGTTAAAATCGCATAACTTCATTCATCTTTGTGCTCTTCCCCAAGATAAGCTGAACAGATTTTCAGTGATGGATTGTCAAGTTATTCTTTCCTCAAATAACCATTTGAGACATTAGTCCAGAGTTTTTCGAGCAACTACCGTACTCGAAATTACCTCCCTCGTTCCAGCTGAGAGCTCAATCTTCCCTGTGTCCCCAAGGATCTTCTCGTGCTCTCTGTGTTTTCTGTTCTAGTTTATCCGCCCTAGGATGAGTTATCCGTGATACCTTGCAAAAAAATCTCTGGAAGAAAGGAAATGGTTACGGAAAATTCGTTCTTAATCTTTAAAAGCTTTTTCGCATTCAGGCTCTGTGCCGCTTCATTTGAATCATCCTAGGTCTCGTGACAAAAATTGCCATTAGGGAGCTTAAGCAACCATGCAAGCTGGCAACGGAAGTGAAAATGTCACTGAAAGTAAATTCTGGCTGTTTCAAAATTTATTACTCTTTCTCCATTTCAAACAATTTGTTTAATGTTGGGGAATTCTTCTAGAGTTGATTTTAAAGGGACTGTATCCAAGTTCAGAAAAAGTAAAAGAATCGTTTTGTCCTGTCCACGTCCTCCATGAAGTGTGAAACTAGGACGTTTCACGTCGTAGTTGTGCAGTGACGGCAAAGAAATGTACCTAGGCGTGATGCACGTGCAAAGTAGTTTTGTTGCTAATCTAAACCAATTGCTTTTTGCCGCTCTCGTTGCCGTCGTCATCCTCGTTGCTTAAGCTGCCTATTAACGGAAGAAGACGGTTCTAAAAGTTCTTTCTGATGGCAATCTGTTCGTTTATTCTTGGGTAATTTTATTGTGGTCTTAATTCATCAGGATTGGTCAAAGGAATCTTGGAATGGTGGATGTCCAGTTAGTGTAATGGTTCCTGGAGCTCTTACGAACTATGGAGACTGTTTAAGAGAACCTTTTCTTAGGTACTGTACTAAATATGAAGGGAAAGGGAACAAGAATCAGTGCCGAAACTAACGGAGGCCCGAAAATGTTGTAATCTTAATTTTCTACCTTCATTGACAACATGAAGAAGGACACTGGCCTGGAAGCAGTTCCAGAAATAAAGCTGCAATGGTTGACAAAGCAACGTGGCGGGAACTTGTCAGCTCGGCACAGGAGTGATGTGGCACCAACGTTTGCGCATTGAAAATTATTATATCTCCTAGTCGGTTATCTGTTTTCGTAAGGTGTCCTTAAATGGCTGGTAAGACCCGACCCACTCCCAGATTAATCTCCGCCAGGGGTTTAATTCTAGTTTTTCGACGCGTAATCCCGTTCCTCGTCCCTATTTTTCATCCCTTTCATTTTTTTGAAACACCGATATGGTCGTCGTGACGTCAAATAAAAAGGCCCAATAGCAGGCTGTGTAAAGCCTAACCCAGAATGTTTCTAATAACGGTGATACGATGCTTACTTGCAACTTTTATGTTTCTGGACAAAATCACTCTTTCTTGTCTATAAAGCTCATGACTTGATCAGTTAACATTTCATCTTTCTCAGTTAACATTTCATTTTTCTTACTATTTAATACTTAATTTAATCGAGGCGTTGTTTTCGATAGAATTCACTGGGCAGGAACAGAATCAGCAACAGAATGGCGAGGCTACATGGATGGTGCTGTACAGGCTGGACAAAGAGCTGCTAACGAAGTTCTAGCAAGATTAAACAATCCCTCTCCAAATGATTAAATTGACTCCAAATAGGGGGGTTAAAACAACTCAAACAAAACTTAATATATCGCTGAATGGCAAGCATTTGTCGGGGTTTTTTGTGGGAGACAGCGTGGCCGAAATGAGTGCTTAACTTTTAAGAAACGGTCCAGATAAGAACGATAGCAACAACGGCAACGAACATAGGTGCTAACTTTTCTATTGTCTGTACTTACTTCTGATTGGCTTAAACAGCAAAAGTTAACAAAACTTCATAAAGCGGTACATATATTTATCCTTACTTTCCAACCATCTTCCATATAACAAAAGTTGGTCTCAGTTTGAATAACAAAGAAATCCTATGTGGGGAACATGTAAGATTGTAAACTTTTTTTGGCTATTGTTTTCGACTCTTGTGATTGGTCAAAATCTTTTAACACAAAAAAACACCCTTTCAAAATGGAGGGTAAATGCATTTTATTGCGTAAACGGCCTTCATGCAGGTTTATGAAAGAAATTGCTATCCACCTTACCCGGATCATTACTTAATCCCGAGGTCATGCGTTCAGTTCACGCCTTGACCTGCTAGCTACGAGCTGTTTCTCGGTAATCCGAGTTCAACTCTTCGACCACGCTTGTAAAAAGGGAACTGTTCTAATTTCTGCCGTTTATAATTAACTTGGTTATTTGTAAGTAGTATAGTTGGGACCCGTTACTCCTTTTCTTTGGGAAACTCTCATTAACTTGCGGGGGAATACACTAACGCCCATGACGTCATAGCCTTTTGTCTTTATCTCATGAATAAAATGACGTGGAATCTCATTAAGTTAAGATCAAATGCTATTTTTAGGTAATTTAACCGGTTTGACAGGTTTTCTAGTTATTTTAGGTTGATGAATGTCTTGCTTTTTGATTGGTTGACTAAAAACTAAGGAAAGTATTCATTGTTTGGTTCATGTTGTCGACGGAATAAGCGCAAACTCGCCTGTGTTACCTTGTGTAGCTGGTAGTTTTTGTGTGACTTTGGTTTTTGGTTCGTGTTTATGCGGACTCAGGAGCTCAAACGAAAAAAACCATGGGGGAAAGGGCGAGGGAGGGAGAGAGAGAGGGAAAATCTGCGCCTTCTCCTCTTACTCCCTCCCCCAACGTTTTCAGGCTTGACCTCGGTTCAGCTTTCGCGCGGCTGCATCTCTTACGGTACTCTGCGAACCACAAAACACCGCCAGCTACGCAGGTTGCGCCTGTGGCATTAAATCACTATCTCGTAACGTAATCACTTACGCAAGTTTTGTTTCCTGCCGCTTGTATTGTCCAACAATAGTGACCTTAAGATCCCACAACGGCGACGGCAACGAGAACTTCAAAAAAGCAATAGGTTTGATTAGCAAAACAACCATTTTGCACGTGCATCACGCTCTTTTGTACATTTCTTTGCCATCACTGCACGACTACAACGTGAAAATACCTAATTTCACGATGTACAGAGGAAGTACACAAGCGAAGACGAAATTTCCTCTCTCTTTCTGAACTTGGATATGGTTCTTAGGAATTCAACTTTAGGAGGGTTCGCCTACATTTGACAAAGTTAGCGACTTGGAGTAATCGCTATGAAGATTGAAAGAACGCGAATTCACTTTTTCAGGGACGTTTTGTCTGCCGTCGCCGTCCTCGGGTCTTAAGGTCCCTAATATGTTGCAGTCCGGTTCACTGATCCCTGCCGCGCAAATCTTGAATATTTAATGAGGACAAAAGCATACTTGCTCTTCCTATCACGAAAAAAAAATTGTCATTTTCCCTCCTCCCTTCTCGCTTCTCCTCATTTCTGTTGGTTTCTCACCACTACCACCAACACCACACATTTCTTTTGGTTTTACTCTCCATCACCACCCTTACCACATTTCTATTATTTTCCCGCCATCACTAACACCCCGCAAAAAAAGGAGTAACCGTTCCCTACTATACTACTTGTGTGCTTATTTCTTTCAACCTCCGCACGGCCTCTTTGTGCTAATTCTATAGACACCGTCGAAGGTAAATAAAGAAATAAATGTGGAGTATCCGTGAATCGGATTAAAATATTCCAATTGTGCAACTTAATCGGCACGCTAAATCGTATGACATGACAATGGGAATAAATTCTTTTAAAAAAAATCAGTTGTAGCTCTCTTGTGATTTTAAATTTAGCAAAAACTATTTATCACCGTAGTAAGATGCAAGTCAATTGGGAGGAGGACTGGTTCATTCAAGGATACATGGGTTCATGTGTTTGCCGCCCACGGTCTTCAGCCCTGACACTATTCAAGGAAGAGACAAATGAAAGTTTTATACCCTATTACTGGCCTAAACCCGCAAAGATAACACCGTGTTCAAGGGAAAAACAAAAGCTAAGAATTTAATGGCAACACAGAGACAAAAATTGCTTCCTTACTATTCCATGGGATTGTTCAGTTTTAACAGATGGTTTCTCATCTGACTGGGCGTTTACGCACTTGAATTTTAGCAGATACAGTTTAGGTACACATTCTAAGGATAACATGAGGAACAAAATGCCAACAAGGGCAAAAATGATACCATTTATCTCGTAAGGATGGAGACCCTCAAAAACAATACCCCATAGGCGGCACATACTTATCTATCCCATACAAGGTATTTGTCTCTCTCCTACATTGCTAGTGGCTGTTGGCAAGATCGTTCAGGTAAACGGCTAGCTCCGGTTCCGGACGTTTTTTCTGCCTCAGCCCCAAAGGAGCTTTGAATGTATCCACTGAGATTGTGTACCTTATGACCAATCTAAGTAAATAGTTCGATTTTCCAAACTAATCTTAGATTGCAATCTGAACAATCTACCTCCGCAATTGGATCGTTCAGATTTTTAATTGCAACTCTACTTTGTTCACAGAGAAGCGAAAACGCCTGGGTATTGTCACTGTTTAAAATGTCCAATATGTGTCTTGGGCGTGCCTCTCAGCATTTGAGGTTTGGTAGTTGTCTTCTAAGATTGCTGTGGTTCAAATTCCAGCAAATATCAAGTTGACGAGTCCCAGTTTGAACCGTTACTCCTTAAAGAGGTACCGTTCTTTCCATTGCTCCACGAGAAGACGTTACAGCAAAGAAATGAAAAAACGATGCGATGAAATTGCGAAGATCAGTGTAGCAGCCAGCTACTGTATGGATCAGATTTTTGGTCCGGCTAGCACGAAAATGTAAACAATCTGGATTGTCTAAATCCGAAAAAGGGTTGGCAAAAAGGAACCCAACCGTAGTATTTTCATAATGAAGAATAGGAGACCAATGAAAGAACGGAGACGATGTAAAAGAAAGTGTCATTTATTCATCAGTTTTGTTTTCCTTGACTACTGCAGCCAACCAGCAAGTAAATCAATAAACAGTTTAAACTTTCCAAAGCAGTTAAGGTAAAACCAAACTAGCCTGCGAGCAAGCTTCGCCAGCAGCACTTGATAGGAGACGCAAAGCTCGTTGGCACGTTTCCTGATGGCTCGCTTTGCTCGCCAAAAATGGCTAGCTTGCTCTCAGGCTAAAACCAAACTACAAGGAAGTTGTTTGTCATAACATTTAGTAGTATTAGCCATCTTAACTTTGCCAAGTCATTGACGCCATATTAACGAGCAAAAGACTCCTTAATACTTAGCAACTTTTCCTGAAATAACTGTTCCAAGTTGCGTTATGACAGATCGAAAAACGCATACTTTAACTTAACTGGCCTAAAGAAAAAGGTAGTTAAAGCCGTGGGGGCTGACCCCCCTCTTTTTTACGCTTGGGATAACTTGTTCCCACATTTGTTCCTAGTGATAACCTTTCCATTCCCCCCTACAATTAATCAGTCATTGGCTTGTTTACGTTCATATACATACTATACACAACATGTCTAAAACATGTTATAGTTCATATGCGAAGTATCCTTAGGTATGGCCACGGGCTTGCGACCTGTTTTATCGATAAATAGTGAAATACCAAGGTGTCGTTTAATCAGTTTTTTAAGAAATGTGATTGGGTACTGGCCGATTTTTCAATTAGTTTGAGTTCAGTTCTAGTTCAGTCAATGTATGTTGAAAAATAAAATAACAACCAAAAAATAGAGAATTGTTCACAAAAAGGAGGGAAACAAGATCACGGAATAACAAAGGCTGCTACACATGTTGCTGACATAATTATGTCAGAGTCAGAGAGACGAGTTTTATGTTTAATTATATTAACTGACTCTGATTAAGCATGCGACAATTCTCTACATGTACAAAATGCAAAAGCGATTCTAACAATCATCTACGAGTACTAATTACCTACTAAAACGAAATGTTTCCACTTATAAGAGTCCCAGACCCTTAAACTTATGGGAAATTTTAAACGCACCCTTAACTTTAACACTCTTCAGAAGTAATCTGCAATCTTAAATGGAACTTTTCAACAATGACAGTTTAGCAGATCTTAGAAGTCTCTCATGCTAATCTATGACAAAATAGTGTGTCCTTCTTGGATCCTAGGAAAGGTGTGCAAAGACGCTATCTTAAATATTTTGTACAACCAATCCTTGATGGGAGTCTATCCCAAAAATGCGGGCCATCCCTTGTGAAGATTATCAGAGTCGCATTTCTTTTCTAATGCCTGTTATCTGGGTGTTTGATAGACCGACATTACAATTAAAAATAATAGCAGGCAGTGGGGTATAGAAAATCAATTGTTATTTTAACTTTATGATTGGAACTTGAAGCCAGGATTTTTACTTCCAGAGTTTCTTGATCGACATATTTTTCTCTGAATCTTTCTGCATCACCTATGAATATGAAGATAAAAAAGGGGTTTAGAATACACGAAAAATGGATCACTTTTAACCTCAGTGCTAGATAATACAGCTAAGACTTGCCAAAATGAAAGAAAACGCTGACCTAAACACCATAAACAAATGTATTTATAGCACTGTTATGGTAAAATTGACTACGAACCAATTAAAACAGACAAGGACAAAAGTACTACAGGTTATGAGAAGTCACCGCTTTTATAAAGGTCAAGGTTACAATGTGGCTGTCATGGTAACTACACGTAACTCTGGGTTCGTACTTACAGTAAAAAAGGGAAGGAATTTCTAAGACCTATATACAAGAAAGCTGGATAGTGCTATCCACAGTATAAATCACTATCCAGTGGATAAGTGTTAGGGAAACCAACTGTGCTATCCACTGGATAGAGATTTCTCCAATGGATAGCGTTATCAACCTCTTCAACAACCGGAGCCTGGTGACTATTGCGAATGTTTACCGCAATTTTCTGAGGGAAAGAGGCTGCAGTATCCTCAAGGACCTGACAGCACTAGAATGATGTATTTAGGTATTAGCAATTATCCAAATTCAAAAAACGTTTATGATGACGTTAACTAGCACGCAGTATTTGAATATTTGGTGTGATCCATCAAGTAAGGGTTTACTGCACAGGCAGCCTACCTTTGTCACTGCCATTTCAAAGTCTTCCTGTGTAACATGAACTCTTCTTTCTCTCAGGGCATACATACCAGCTTCCGTGCAAACACCCTAAAAATATCACAGATCCACTTTGAAATTCTCATTTCTAAAACGTCAGCCATAAACAAAACACGCTACCGTGAATTAATGAGCTATTCAGGTACAAATGTTACAAAGGTATTGACTTGATCCTTATGCTGTTTTTCAACATCATGAAAAAACACCCTCAACCCTTAACTTGTTGAAATTCTCCCTGCCATAAGGAGTGAGCATCCATGGCAAGTATTCTACAGGGGAGGGGAAAGGGGAAAAATGGATGGGCAAAAACATGAAGAATGTACCATTTTTTTCTGTATTGTCCACTTTCCCACTCCCTTTCAAATGCTTACCACACAGGTTGCCATGAGAGGGTCAGTAGTAGTGTAGGACATGGTGGTACAAGCTCATTTTCACAAATCATACACATAAAACCAACAGCTGAACTGGCAGTTCAACTACCTGTTCAACTGTTGGTTTTATGTGTATGATTTGTGAAAATGAGTTCGTACCACCATGTCCTACACTACTGTCACTGGGAATGAGGAGGTGGCATTACAACTTCCACATCTACGCCAGTTAGGCTGTGACATAGCAGTAAGGCACTATACTGAAGAAAGAACCTCATGATCCAGCTCCTTTAGCTTAGAGATTGTACTTGGTTCATCAAACTTGTTACACAAGTCAATCTTTCAATCTAAACTCCTGCAACTTCAACCAACTACAGCAACTCACTTACTAACTGACTGACCAACTTTTAGAGTGACTTACAGACGGACAGACAGTTTTACTCACTGACTACTCAACATTTTACATGATTTCATGAAAACACATAAAAGGGTGGCATTAAATTTGTACCTTGACTTCAGCCCCTGATGAACCAGGCATAAGTTCAGCAATCTTTCTGAGATTGATACCTCTGGTTAAATTCATCTTTCTGGAGTGAATCTTCAGGATATCCAATCTGGCCTGTGCGAGTAATTAAGAATGACATGAAGAACTAAGTAAGAATTTATTTTGCTTCATAAAAAAAAACAATGCAAAAAACAAAATTCAAGTTGTTTAAGCCAAACACCGATTTTCCACAAAATTCAGGGCACTCAACAAACTTCAAGTTACCCCTTTCCCAGTAGCCTGTACACAGACGTTGTTTTATTTTTCTATTTGTTCTTTTCGAAATTTCTTCTTCCCCCACCACTACCCGATTGCACTGGTGGTCAATAAATCCCTGCTGTTTATATTTTATCACCAGCACTCGACGGACTTTGAAGAGAAAATAGAGGGTCTGTGAACAAGCTACCTTTCCAAAGGGGGTTGGCCTGAGAAGGGTGTCTGGGGAAATTGCCCCAACAAAAGACTTTTAAAGTTTGGAAGTGCAACTTCAAGTACTCCCATCATCACGTAGACAAGTGGTGTTTTCAAATTAATTTATCCAGCAAAATGTAGTGTAGATGGAGCCCAAAAGCTTGCACAAATCTAGCATGTGCCGCGCAGGATCTCAGGTAGTAACGACGTAGAGAAAATAAGGCGTGTCACTTGAGGAAGGGTCCTCACACCTAACAACACTGAAAGCACCAGGCAATAAATTCAAAGATCCTCATAGCCTCACCTCTTCATTTGGGGGTGGGAATTCAATCTTTCTGTCAATACGTCCTGGTCGCAAAAGAGCAGAATCCAAGATGTCTATGCGGTTTGTTGCCATGACAACCTTGATGTTCTTAGTTGCTTCAAACCCATCAAGTTGGTTTAGCAATTCCAACATGGTTCTTTGTACCTCACTGTCACCTGTTTCACAAACAAATATTCACTTAAATGTCAACATTTCAAACCGGAAATTTGTCTGGAAAATAGTAACTAAGCTTTTAAAAGGTCTGCAAAGTTCTTATGGATAACCATAGCATATGTGAAGGGGAAAAAGTTTTTTCTTCACCTCTGCAATTAATGACTACATGAGTGCTAACCATTCTAACTGGATACTTATGTTGTTTGCAAAACAGAAACTTGGCTTCCACAAGCTCTACAAAGTTGTTGTGGATAACTACAGCATACATTGTATGTGAAAGGGAAAAAAGATTGCTCGCTTAAAACACAAACATCTGCATTAGACTGCTTGTTTTCCACCAGTGCTGTGATTATGCCCTAAAGGTGATAGGCTAGATCAGTGGGCAGTATGCAGCTGATAACTAAATTAATGATTAAATGGATTAATTAATTTGACTAATCATTTTCCACCCTCTCTCACTCTAGACTCTACAAAAAATATTCAATGCTCTGCAGCAACACCTAGGAACTACATGGACAGTACATGCACCTCTTATTGCTGACGCAAGTAATAACCAAGAGATAACATTTGGTAAATAAATAAAAACAAACAAACAAACAGCCATATCTTACCTCCTGACCCTCCTTCTAATCTTGAAGACCCAATAGAATCAATCTCATCCATGAAAATGATGGAGGGTGCATGTTCCCTAAAAGAATTAATAAAAACAACATTTCAAAATTAATTAATGTGAAGAGGTTCACAAGTTGTTTGAAGACACAAGTATAATAACAAGATAAAGAGCAGAGACTACTGTAGTAAATAATTCCTTTGCATGTATTTGCAGGGCTCAGAAAAAAAAATTGAATTCCAAAAAAGTATAGGCTACTCTTTTATTCCTGCTTGTAATTATGCACAGAAAGTCACACATGTCCACTTTTTGTTTGTTTTTTCTTTTTCTGCCATATTTGCAGGACCACAGTTTGTTGAGACCCAGAATTTTGCTACCAAAGCAAAGCGATGTAACAACTTCTACCTATTCTTATTTTACCTTGCCATAACGAACAGTTCTCGAACCATCCTAGCTCCTTCACCAATAAATTTCTGCACCAGTTCGGATCCAGAAACTCTAATGAATGTGCACTCAGTGTGGTGTGCTACAGCTCGGGCAAGCAGTGTCTTGCCTGTACCTGGTGGACCATACAGTAATACTCCCTGGAAGAAACAGTTGTTTAGGATGAAAGATTACAAAGTTGGATTTACGGGATTCAAGCAGTGTCTTGCCAAATTTGAATTTTACCTGGTGGACGAGGTTGAGTTGTTTTGGTTGTGAGCGTGAAAAAATACAGTTTCAAGAGTAAGAACTAGTCGAAAAAATAGCTAAAAACCCAGGAAGAAACAGTTGTTTAGGATGAAAGATTACAAAGTTTTTAAACTAGGAATTATTTTTGGATTTACTAATGGAGTTAGAATTCGGCTTTTATTATCATGAAGAATTATGGACATCTTATTAGATGTTAACCAGTCGTAGAGTTGGCACAATTCATTATTGACTCAGTGTTTCAAGAACTTTCAATTTTTTTCAGCAAAAAGTATATTTGTATCATCAGTGAAGAGATACAATGTAAGTTTAGTAGAGCACTGGTCGATACCAGTAACATACAGCAAAAAGAGAAGAGGACCTAAAACGGAACTTTTGAGGAACTCCAAACTTGATTATGGCTTTATTTGATATGTGATCAGCAATTTGAGTAGTTTGGGTCCGGTTATTGAGATATGAGGAAACCATTGGTTGATTAATCCATGAAAGCTGTAGAAGTTGAGCTTGTCTAGCAGAATATTATGGTCAAAGGTATCAAAAGCTTTTTTGAGGTCAATAAACACACCACAATGTGTGCATGCAGATGCTGTATATTGCACATATATTTCAATTTCGTCCTTAGTTTTCATTTTGTTTTCCATTGTTTTTGGGAAAGGTTATGTATGATGAGTCTGCAACAAAAGAAAAGAAAATTTAGACAAAGGATAAAATTGAACCACAGCAGAGAAACCTCTGATGTGTGCAATACACAGCTCAGCATCAACCTTTGATGTTACAGTCATTAGCTATCTGATGTAGGCTGCTTCATTCATGCAATTGAAATGCTAATAAATAATGCTGAGTGGTTGAAAAAATAAAATAATCATACCTTTGGTTGATCAATCCCAAGGGCTTCAAAAAGCTCAGGATGTTTTACAGGAAGTTCAATGACCTATAGGAAAGAAAAACATTATCTTACATGGCTAGCTCCTTGCCATTCTCATAAAACCAAAGCATAGTTATGTACAGTGTACACAGTGTACAGACATTTTCATGGATAAGTTGGCAGGGCATTACATCATGGCATCGCAGTGATCCTATGCTGTATTAAAGGTGACCAGGAGTTCTTAATTAATGCAGACAGTTGCAAAAATAATATCGGACACTTGGGTGCAATAGGTGTGTAACATGTACTTAAATTGAGTTATAAAGATACTGCTGGCCATTCCAAGTCATCCTCACACAAAAATCAAGATTGTAATGCCTACGTGTATATAGAAAAAGGACACCCAAGCAACTAAAGGAGACCCAAAGATTGGTGTGTGGCTCTCCTGGAAGCTCACAGAAAAAGGCCTTAGAATGGCCCAATGTTCTTTACAACATACCTCTTTGATTTCTTTGATCTGTTTGTCTAGTCCACCCACCATCTCATAAGTGGAATCAGGAACCTTCTCAACCATCATCAAACTGACAAGAGGGTCCACCTAAAATGTTAACAATATCACTGTTGCTTTCTTTTCCGAGCTACAGTTTAATACTCTCGGTTAATAACACAATATAACAGTGTCCTCACCAGGCCACGGCCTTGTGGGATTCCCGCAAGAAAAACTGAAATGGCGCATTAAGACCAAGAAGATGCGCCCGTTAGGGCGCAGGGGCAAGCTATGAGTCAAACTGACTTAAGTAGTTTTAATGGTCAACCTAACACTAAAGCATTCTGTTTGTTTGAATAAATGAAAAACATGATATCAAATGAGTCAAAGTTTTTAATTTTGTTGCCTTTACTTTCATTGGTCCCACGCACGTCCCACTACATCGTAAACTCCTCCTCCGAATCGTAAACACCTCTTCTGCCATATTGGATCAGGTAGGTACTTCATGTAACAGAAAATTTGGAGTGCGGGCTCAGGTTCTTCGTGCCGCGTGTTTTTTGTAACTTTGTCCCCCTAATGTTCTTACAGGGCCCCTATTTCTCAGAAGAGGGGGCCCTGGGACTCCCCAAGGCAAAATCCTGGTGAGAACACTGATATAATAATTGTTTAGTACTACTACCTACAACCCAACCCTAGTCACTCCTTATATATGATACAGGAATCTTTCTACAAGTACATTATTAGAACATAAATGGTGGATACATGTAGTTCTCAAGATGAAAATTTACTGTTGGTCCTTAGCCAATGAGAAGACAAACAGAGAGTACAATGTATCATAGTTTACCTACAAGTACCAAAATTATTTTAGTTATTAGGCACAGCAGCAATGCACCTTACTCAAAAATATGGTAATTGCGGAAAATTTCAAACCTTGTTGGGCAGTATCTTGTGAAGAGTGTAACTGTCATTTCTTAGTGCTACTCTGCAGTTTGGTGTAACCTGAAAAGGGAAAACACACAGTTGATCACAATCCAATAACATCTCATTCCCTTAAACTTATCAATTGTCTGGTCACTTGCCCATCATACATGTATACATGCATATGGATATGTTCTTTGCCAGATAAAAGACCCAGATTATGAAAATTATGTCACGACCTTGAAAATGCTGACCTCAGTCTGCGGCCTTGGTCAGCATTGTCAACACCGTCCTCACTGTACAGTGTATTTCATGATCTAGACTGACCCAAAGCTGGCAAATAATACAATTATTGTTATTTATCTAATTTATGTACACTGTACATGTATTGCTTTTATGGATATAGAAAAAAAAGTAACAGCTTTTCGATAGGAACCAGCGTCCGCTCCTCAATAATGAATCATTATCATCTTACCTCAGACATGTCAATTGACTTATCAAGATCAACTACAAATTTCCCTTCTGGATGAACCTGTAGGAAGCAAAACAAAATCATTAACATGTAAGTTAAGCCAACAGTTCTTAAAGGAAGACTCTGCTGATTACATGTATGATATACTGACAGTAATTTAGGCTAATAGCAGCACAGAAAATAGCCTGCAAATACAGCCATCTCTCCACGCTCCTAACAACGTTTTCGAAATTCCATGCTGATGATATAAGTCAGTTCAGCATCTGGTCAGGAACCCTGATTGGTGGACATAGTAGTAATACTCTCAAGCTATTGTTTATGAACAGGAGACAAAAGACAGAAGGTCCCAAACAATTTACAGGGTTCATACAAAAGTTGCAACCATTTTAACGACTTTTCAAGGACCACTTACCAGGTAAGTAATTTCAGAGACTGCGCAAAAATGCACTTTGGCAGTTCATTCTAACAGGGTTGTAAGGCTTAAACTATTTGCTCCACCAACTTCTTCAAATTTTTCAGTTCACTTGTCTTAAATTAGCGTGCGACGCAAGCATTTCCGCGTGAGTTCATCGAGAAAGTTGGGATGAGAACTTTTGTACAATAACTCGATTGGAAACGCTTGCTACGCAGGTTAGTCTTAAATTGATTGTTATTATTGCATAAGACAAAAATGCTTTATGTAAATCACCTTTAATTTCTATGAGCTATGATTTATATTTGTATATTCTGTCTTGCACAACCAAAAAGCATAAAAACTCTCCAGGCCACTTCATTCAAAGTTGAAGAAAATTCAAGGACTTTTCAAGGACACAGATATTTAAGGACTTTCCAAGGACTTTCCCTAGAATTCAAGGACTTTTTAAGACTGTGCGAACCCTGATTTACCTAAAAAAGTAATTACGGTTGGAATATATTCTTCTTTAAAAGAAGCATTCTGGTTTCGCTGTGCTAGTTCTCAGAAGAACACAAAATAATTTTAATGTATTAGGTGGGGAGAAACATAAAGTCGAATACATGTACATTTACATCTGGAAACTAATAAATATTAGATTACATATGTAGATTGTAAAAATTGATTAACATCATCAGCATGAAATTTCTGACCCAGAAATGCAGAAGTCTTTCCTGCAAAGCATTCCTCAAAATATGTCTCAAGACACTGAAACACCCTTCAATAATGGCAGGCCGACTACTGGTATTAATTTTAATACATGTACGTTCCATCTGTTAACATACAAAAATCAGACATTTACTTCCTCCCAGTTGCTTCCAAGCTGTGTCATAAGTTAGACATACCTTTACTAAAACTTTCTTCTTGTCCATTGGTTTGACCACCTCACCAACATACGACCCTTGCTCTTGCAGCAACTGCAGCTCCTCCCTCAACATTCGCACTATAAAATAATGCAAAATAAATTATTAATATTAATACAAGGAAGAAAACTCAAACCCCAAGCAACTGCAAATACTTATACTTATGAAATAAAACTGCTGCTATTATTAAGTTTATGAGTTTTAACTTCTGTCTTCAAAGAAAGTAGTAAAGAACTTACCTTTAGCGTTAAGCTCATTTCTCTGGGCCTCAAGCCTTCTCAAGTTCTTGATTTCTTCTGTCACAACCATCTGTAAGGGAAAAAGGAGTCAGTTTTATCAACAGTCATTTGTATTGTGTAACACCAACATTGCTGCTGATAAAACACAGAAAACATGTACAATAACATTACGAAGACAAGACATTAAACTAACAATAGACTTACTTTATAGGTTTAACAAGATTTTTGTTATCTCCAGTTCAAGCTTCAGATTATTTTAACATTAAAGGAATTTGTGGAGCATTTTTATCATGGAGCTCTGGCTCAGAAGATGGACCAATCAATTCTTATGTCCGCGACCTTAAATGCATACAGTGTGTAATAATAATAATTATTATTATTATTATTATTTAACTACCATTATTTCACTACTCAAGATCACCTTCGTGTTTTTTTTTTAATTCACCACTGATAAAGAAGTGCCGGAATATAGCCTTCTATGACTTTTAATAACTTACTAAATTCTCCTTCCAATTTTCCTTGCATTATGATTGAAAATCAAAGGGAGACTTAAACTTAAGATCAGAAGTCACTTGGGAACCTGTTCCATGTTCCCTTTAATACAGAAATAGACAAAAAAGAAATAAAATGTATCACAATATATTGCTCATGAATGCTGATTATACCTGGAGTGACTCTATCTTGGTAATATAATACTGCTGGATTCCTTCATGTTGTTTCTCTTCTTCAACTTCCATCTTGAACAAAAAGAGGAAAAGATGAAATTACAAAAAGATGCTTTTATTCTAAATTTTGTTTTCAACGTTACATATGTTGTGGTTCAACTTTATCCTTGGTTTAAATTTTCTTTTCTTTTGTTTCAAACTCATTATCATACATTACCATACAAACAATTGCCATACCCAAAAACAAAAGAAAATAAAATTTAAAGCAAGGATAAAATTGAACCACAACATATACTTTACAAGGCACTAGGAAAGAGGGGTTGTAATAAAGAAAATAACGATTCGCTTTAGTGCTGTATCACCAATGATGAACTAGAACCCATTTTTATCACTTTCAGTTTGAAAGACTGCATGAAAGAAAAACAAACTTGATAACTCTGAAGACTGAGGCCCTCTTAGTGGGGTGGGGTGAGAGGGTACATATATGCCACTGGTCAAATTTATATTCAGGTTAACATTTTTTAACCTAGGTTGATTCTCAATTTCCTTTATCACCTAAGGTAAGGTAAAGGCCCACACGAGCCAAAGGCCCACACGAGCCAAAGGCCCACACGGCCGGAGTTTATACCAGTTTCTGCAGCATGAAGCATGCCTAGGAGTATTGCTACTCCCCCCTGGATGGCATGCTAGCCCATCACAGGGTTAACCCCCAGCAGTATGTTGCTGGTACCCATTTATACACCTGGGTGAAGAGAGACAAAGTAGAGTAAAGTTCCTTGCTTAAGGAAACAACGACGGCCACACATGCCTCCACACCCTAATTAATTATCTCCAAGTCCATATAAATTCATAATTAAGGCTAAGAGACAAAGGAAATAGAGAATCAACCTAGGTTAAAAAATTTTAGTCTGCATTTCAAACATGTTTCTTTCACGTTTTGAGGAGTAGGCCACGTCCTTGTCGATATTCAACCCATCTTTATGTCGTTTGCCGCCACTTCATTGCGTTTAATGGCCATGTCACTTATTGGAATTTACCCTAACAAGGCCTAATTACTAGTTGTCTTGTTTTTCTTATCAAATAAATATTTATATTTGATTTCGACACAACAAAATAATGTATTGCCAAATATCAGTAATTTACTGCAAAAATAATCACAAATAAAAGTTTAAAAAAGTTGGGTTAAACTCGATTAAAGTTGGGTATTGCTTTTAAGATTATAAACAAAAGAGGTTATGGGTGATCTCGCCCCCACGTCATTTCGCTCCGGTTACTTAGCCCCCTATTCTAGAACGAGGAAAATTATATTTGAAGCATGCTTGTTTTGGTTTATGGTTTAAAGAACGAGGAATGTTATATTTGAAGCACCCTTGTTTCGCTTTATGGCTTATAGAACGAGGAATATTACATTTGAAGCATGCTAAACGACTCGAAAATAGGGGGCTAAGTAATCAGGGCAAAATGACTTGGAGGTGAAATGACCAGTTACCACATAAGAAACAGCTGCAACATTAACACTTGTGCATGAGATGGTATAAAAAGTTAAACTAATAACTTTTTAGAGCCACTGGTGAAACAGGAAAGCTGTATATTCATGACATTGAACTGGTACACATAATGAGGAAATTAAAAAAAAGGGAAGCTTAAACTGCGCAAAAACTTGTAAAGTAAGCATTCATACTGTACAAGACTCTGAAACAATGGACCAATGATTCGGTAAGTTTAAAGCACTGGAAACTGTCACCGATCGAAAGTATTATCTAAAAATCTATAATGATTAAGTAGATAATAAGCTAGCTCTTGTTTGAAGTAACAGAATCAATGAGCCACGGTTAATTAGGAAGTAAAAGATCTACCAACTTCATACAATGCAAAGAGATCTCCTGACAAAAACTATTCCTATGGCCCACAAGATGAGATTTATATCAGGTTACTTAGTTTTCAAAGAAATAACAATCTAACTTTCGATGTCAAAAGTGGCTGAAAAAAACTCTTACTTCTAATAATTGTCCGAAATAGATAGCGTGTTACGCCGAACCTCATTGCACAAAAGGTCTAAATTTTCGATCAAAAGATGTCGTCATGTACAACCACATGACAAACTTTTAAAGTTTTTCAACGCAAAATTGCTCTGCAGTTTGCCCTCTGACCAAAAGTATCTATTATCACCTCATCTGCTTTGATCTTGTGGACTCTGCGAGCCGGTTCTTCTTTCTTCACGGTGCTTCTCGGACTGGGAAAATGCATTACAGCCGTTCCGGCCGCCATGTTGGAATGACTTTGACAAAATTTGGAGCGCATCCATGATGCCATGCGGAGCGAGATTAGATCATGAATGGGGAAAGGCATTCTGGGAACAAATAACCAAGCCCAGTACTTCTCAGATTTTGAATTATTGTCCTCGGATAGAGGGTAAAAAGTCTTTCTCGTAGGCAAAGATAAACTTGCAGTTGGACCCTCTGGCCCATGTGCGATCCAGCCGTGATTATACCTTTGAGACCTGGAGCCTGACATCTAGAGGAGGGAGTCCAACGATCAGCGGGTTCTCTCTAGCCTGCGTAGCAAGCGCATGGAAGTAGAGTGCGAAAGACAGAACGGGTACGCGCGAGGGAGACACGCGTGTCTCCTCCTCGCCCGCCCGTTTTTTCTTGTGCTCTGCTTCCAAGCGCCTGCTACGCAGACTAGGTTCTCTCTGCTACCCGAGTTAAATAGCCCGCGTACCAGGCGCCGGGTTTCTTTTTGGGGGGCGAAGGAAGAAATCTCGAGGACGCGCGAGGGGAGGAAAGAAG